CATCACGCTGTGACGAAAAGTGATCGGCACGCTCCGCGTGCCTAAAAGTCCAATTTCCGCCACATTGTGATGAAAAATATTGTTCGTAACTCGTGAAAAAATGTTTTTTAGCTCGTGGGATTATATCACTCGCCTTCGGCCCGTGATATAACCCTCCCNGTCCAATTTCCGCCACATTGTGATGAAAAATATTGTTCGTAACTCGTGAAAAAATGTTTTTTAGCTCGTGGGATTATATCACTCGCCTTCGGCCCGTGATATAAACCTCCCACTCGTCAAAAAACACTTTTTTGCACTCGTTACGAAATATACTATTTTTTCACCCGCAGCCAAAGTGCCAAATATTTCGAAATTTAAATGCACAAATTAATGGTTACTATAATATTTAAAATTTCAAGATTTATGTTAAAAATTGACAACTTCACAATTTAACGGTAATTAAGATTGATTGATATGCCTATCACGGCCACACAATATATATCCTCCCCACATTTTCCTGCCATCGCGAAACCATTCCTCGCCCCCGCCGAAATAAATAAAATAAATAAATTTCCGAATAAATTCACATTCATAAAATTGAATCTGCCGAGAGTGTCGCCCCCTCCGTCCACCTGTGCCGATTCGAAATTCAAATTCCCAACGGTCAATCACCGTCGGCCGACAGGTGCCCATCGCCTCCACAACGACCCCTTAACCTGCCCCACCCCCTCGAAAATCACAGTCCACCCCCGCTAGCCCGCAGAGGTCCCCAGGAAAATGCACTATCGTCGAGGACAATAGGATCGCCGCAAAATTTTATTATTCATGAAACGATCCGGGGCAACAGGTAGCCTCTTCCCCCCGCCTCCAGGATTCCGGGGATTTGACACGTAAATACGACTCACCGCTCTGGTCTTCCTGTTCCGCAGTGTCTCCCGACGTCTCACGCGGCTGTGGTAATCACTCAAACCCCGCAGATATTTATTTTCTTTCTCACTATCGTCGTTCACCGTCACACACTCGATTTTGACGTGTTTTCTGCGCGGCGCCATTTTGACTCTCGGCCCTCGTGACGTTTAACGCCGATAAAATAGGAATCGCGGGATTGATATCGCCTCGTTACCGATGGATTCGTGCGCATGACCACGAGCTTCCGCGGTGCAGACGGCGCTCCGGACAGTTTTGCCCTGGCACTCGCGACTGTCGTTTTCTCTCGCCGTATTCGGTCATATTATCGTGAAAATCGTTGGGCGACGGGTTATCCGCGAGGAAGGTGATTGTTGTTGAGTAAATAAGTGGGTTCGTAAGACTTTGGCGTGACGATGGCCACGATAACCTCCCAGGAGGCGCCGCATCTCCAGCAGATCGACCTGACGAAGTGCAACCTCGATCAGTTGATGCTACTGAAACGACAGCTCGACAGGGAGATCGGAGTGTTTCAGGACTCGATTCGGAGGTTAAAGTTGGCGCAAAATAAGTTTCAACAGTCTGGACATTGTCTCGATAAAGTTAATGCGGAGATGAAAGGTAATTTTTGTGGTTTTCGGGCTTTTTTAGGGCGCGGCGGAGGGAGCGGTTTTGAGGTTAGGTTGGGAAATTTGATACGTGCACTGAGGAAAAAATTACTTTTGCCAGGGATATTTAATGATTACAAGAAAATTTACGCAAGTTTTATTATGCAGGTATTTCATTTACTTGTAGCGAGTGAATGTACTTGGCAAAATAATTTTTTTTCTGTGTCGGGAGGTGAACTTGTGGCGGGTGTCTCGGGAGTTGAGGGGTGGGAGTTTCGCGGAGAATAAAAGGTTTGATTTTCAGGGATATGTTGCTGTTTTTCAGAAATCAATTCTGCGTTATTATGGATTCATGATTGTGAGATTTAAGGAGTGCGACATTTCGAGGTTGAGTGATTTTGTCAAGAATTTTTAGTCACATTATCACTAATTTTTTTTAAATTTCAATGATTTTCAGAGACCTATTTCTAATTTTTAGGAGAATATCACCAAATTTCAGTAATAGAAATCACAGATAGATTCCTAAAAATGATATCGCCATGTTCGAGCTCTCATTTTCAATTCGAGGTGTTGCCTACGCTTTTTTAAAAAAGGATATCTCCAAATCTCAACAATATTTTCCCCCTAGAGTTCTCACAACTTTCATTTTCCCCCAGAAAAAAGTTCTCACAGAACTTTCGCCTTTTCCCTCAATTCAAAACATATTTACCTCGGACGAAACTCAACTCAACTTGATTTCCTTAATCCTATTTTGCAACTTCACATCTAATTCAATTTCTCTTTTAAAATTCTAGGGAAAGAAATTCTCGTTCCGCTCACAGAATCAATGTACGTGCCAGGAAGAGTATCAGACACTGAGAATGTCCTCGTAGACGTTGGGACTGGTTATTTTATCGAAAAACCCGTGGACGATGCGAAGGATTACTTCAAGCGAAGAGTTGCTTATATCACGGAACAAATAGAAAAAATTCAAGTATTGGCGACGGAGAAGCTTAATATCTGTAATGCCACGATGGAGGTCATAGCAATGAAGTTCCAGGCGCAGGAGCAGAAGGCAGCAGCATAAAATCACCAGAACTGATTTAGAATTCAATTTTTCTATCACAGTGGCTTCGATCACTCATCCACAAAGGATTTGCATTAATTCTGTCAATACTCAGGATTTTTTATTAAATTTTTGCGAACAAAAACAATAATTTTCGTGTCATGGGTCATCGGAGTTTTGGCACATTTAATTAATTGAATTTACTGAAATCCAATCATTGTTTTTTCCACGATATGCATTTTATAACGTTCAAATGTCATTTATTAAATATACTACAGTAATTATATTTCCAATCATAGTTGTTATTGACTCGACCTGCAGTATTTTTATTTTAATCCCCAGGAGGCGGAGCTTGCGGAGGAAATAATAGCGAAATTATGAAACATTTAGTTTTTGTGAAGATTCAATAATTTATTTATCCATTGTTAAAGTGAAATAACATTATAAAATATGGAGAGCACTGGATAGGACATATTTTTTCATTTGATGATTTTTTTTTTCAATTAATTATTTGATTTCAATTTTTATAACTATTCATGGTTTTTTTGTTGGAGGTATCAAAATAATTGTCACAAGATAAATATCACCGTACAATATTAATTATTTCTTCATGCATTTGGTTCTTTAAATTAATATATAATTAATATTTACGCGTAAAATGCTACAATTTTAATTAAACTTACTTGCATAGTGGCATTCAATCCTTGATGATGCCGGCTTTTAGGGGAAAGGACACAGAAATTATAAAACATTTCGTTTCAACAAAGAATCAATAATTTATTTGTTCATTCTTAAACTGAAACAACTCCATGAAACAATAAGAGCATTCTATAAACTGGACAGGACGTATTTTTCCATCTGATGTTAATTTTTTTTAACTATTCATGGTTTTTTGTTGGAGGTATCAAAATAATCGTCACAGGATAGAAAACACCGTATAATATTCGTTATTTCTTTATCCATTTTGTTTTTTTTGTATTTATATATAGTTCGTCGATACTTGATTGTTAATATCGATGATCTAACACAATGACATTATGAGTTTTTCATCATTCCCTTAGATTACAACCCCTTGCTCGAGGGAGCAATCTTGTCCCTTATATATGCCAACATAATATCGCTATAATTATTACATATTTCTTCTATTTACACGAATAACATATGCTCGTTGAAAGTCTTACTCGATTTTGAATTCTCAGTTTTTCTTTTTCAAATTTCTTATTCTTAAGGTTTGTTTTTCTTGAGGAAAAGGAGTCGTTAAATTCTGAGGGTAATTTGGGGATATTTTTGGATTTTTCGCTTCAATGATTTCCCTTGTCTCTCGGTGATCTCCTCCCTCACTGACACAAAAAACATTGATTTTGGTGTCACTTGAAATTCATCCAACAATGATACTCTCACTCAGTCCTCGAGGGATTTTACACTCTTTAAATATCTTCTCTCTCGCTCTCTCTACGCGCAAAAGTATTTTAATTCAAACTCTCTGCAGATTGGTGTTATCTCGTACATTGCAGGATTGAGCTGACGGATACTAGGAGAATTATCCAATGAGCAATCGTCAATTTTGCTACACCACTACCTGGAAAATCATAAAGAGAAGACTATTTATATTCTTTATTTTATAATTATTGGATTATCCTAGTATTCGAGGATATCTAAAAACCTGTCTATATTCAGAATTTCAATGAAAATTGATTGAATAGAAAAACAAGTTGATATCTTATTTTTTCCATAAGCTAGACTGATTGCAAAGTTGAAAGAAAAACGGGAATATCTCGAAAACTTTGTATGAAGGGGTGTATGTATTTTGATTGATTTAAATAGAAGGCATCTAACCCTCGATCACTCGCTCAATGATTTTAGCGTGTCTCCCGACGCTTAAAAATTCTGAAAAAAATCCCGTTCCTAGTTCAACCCTTTAATTAAGCTTCAGCGTTGTCCTTTTTTTTCTCGGGAAATTTGTTTAGCTAAAAAAAGAAAAGATCCGTCGAACGGACAGAAAAGCGGCGCCGCGCCGCCCGTTGCGAGTGAGACCGTATCGCCCCCGCGAGCGGCAGTGTTGCTACATTCGCTGTCACACTTGAAATGCGCGCATAGCGGTAAGCGCCAAGATGGCAACAGCGCGCTCTGTTTAACGCAGCGGCGCTGCGCTAACCGTGCGACGGATCGAGGGCTAAACGAATGTTTTGAAAGCAAAAATTGAATTTACATTCCCGCAAATTATGAATTTATATGAATAATGAGGGATTTTACAGAAAACCTTAGATCTTCCATGAAATTCCCTGCAAAAAGTGTTTAATATTTTTTATCATTAGTCAATTCCTCAATTCTCCAGATAATTAACGCCTAATTAGATGATGAAATTGAATTGGATACGGGTTCTTGTTCATTGTTCAGTAATCTCGGCGATAAGTAAGTCTTTCTTGCAGCCGACAAGCTGCCCCACAAGAAAGGATCTCCAACATTGTCCCCTCATACTCCAGATAATCCCCCAATTACCAGAAATTCCATATCTGCCTCCCTCTTTTTCACCCCTCAATGATCACCCCTGCATTATCAAACTCACCAGTATGAGGCGAATCACGAGTCCCCAATACTGAAGCGAGTCTCGGTCGTTCCTCATCAATAAGCGCCGTGACATTCATCTTGTAAAGCTGGAAGACATTAGCATGACAAGTGATTTGTAGTCTACCATTTCTAAAACTGTCCTGAGTTATCTCGAAATCCAGCTCAGCATATGCGCGAGATCGATTGTCCATTCTCTCCGCTATATTCCTGTGATGAGTAGAGTTGAGCTGTAGGAGAAAAAAAAACAATTTTATACCCTCAACCTTCAGCCCACAAAACCCCGCATAAAACCAAAGGAATAGGAAAAACCCATCTTATGGGGGAACGAGGAAATAACATAGTAAAAAAATTCTCCCCTACTTCTCTGGAATGACAGGAGGGCGAAAAAAAATGAGAGTGTAGACAACGTACGGCATGATGATTGATTTTCAAGAGGAGAAAAGGAAAATTGAAAAATATCTCGAAAAAATGGTTCCTGTCGGGAACATACGATGATGCGAGATAAACATCTTTTAGATGAGATATATATTCAGTAGTAATACCCCAAGAGCTGAGAGAAAAAATTATTTTTGCCAAATATTCATTTACTTGAGAGAAGCATTTATTTTTTCAAAGCAGTATTTCCTATTGAGTCATTCCCAGGCGAGTCTTCACATTGGATACTTTCAAATTCGAACCAAACAATCATTATTTTATTCATTTTCAACGGAATTTGTTGCGAGTATTTACATTTTCTGTACCTAATAATCGACACAAAAATAAAGACCCTGTTTGTGTGTTCATTTTGCTGGATGAGCGCCGAAAAATTGAAGAAAGTTGTTACAAGATTGAGTGCATGCTAAAAACTGCGAATTTACAGAATTTCACCGCTGATTCCCAAACAATTATCTCGTCAGTAATTTCCAACTAACGATCTTCTCGGCCCAACCAAGACTTGTTTGCGAACTTGCACAAAAATACAGCCACCTGCAGATTTTTTCAATTTCTAAACTCCAACAACTCAGCCGAACCACCTCTTGCGAACCTCTCAACTCTTCGCAATCTTCTCCCCGTAATTTCGATGTATCGACGATCCCAACTACTCTTCACCCATAACCCTGGTAACAACTATCCTCCCCTCTGATCCCCTCCCCTCCCACCCCCCCAAAAGAATGTTCTAAACCGCAACGTGTGTATTTTCACTCGTTAAGCCAGGCCAGCATACCCCACTGGTACCAGGCTCGTTACATAGTTACAGCTCGTTCTAAAGAACTAATTAACTGTGGAAACCCTGAGATAGTCCTTTAGAATGTTACCTATCCCAAAGAGAGGACGACTCTTCCCACTTGTAACACCCAGCACTTTTACCACTGGGGTTCATTAACCCCCTTCGGTTATATATTCGTTGAGATACGCATAGGCTACCAGCGTACTCGAAGGGGTTATACACATGAATCTGTACTTCCTGCCTCCGGCTTTTACACCCGCTCCCTCCCCTCCTCACCCCCCGCCCACCCCCCCAGGCTTTGCCCATCACCCTTTTTACACACGCACATACACACCGATGAGTATGGTTTCCCGTCGAGAGTAATTCGCGCGTCGCATTCAACTATATAAACATATACTCATTGAATTCTCAGGTAGGATCGTAAAACACACGGCGGGCGAGAGAGGGACGAGGGAGAATCAATGGGGTTTGCCTCTGCTCCGCTCTGCTCCTCGGGTAGTCCTCTCTCTCTCTCTCTCTCTCTCTCTCTCTCTCTCTCGGCTCATACCAATATTATATACGATTATAAAACGCCAACGAGCGGAAAAGGGTGGAGAAGAGGATCCGCAGAAGAGGGTGATAAAGAATCCGGCGGAATGAGAGGCGTATTCGCGTGCTTGCCGGCGTAATTCGCGGAATAGCGCCTTGTTATGTAAGTATTATTACAGTATCGCGTAACGGACACTCAGGCCAATATATCCTCTACTGGCGGTGGGGGAATTCACTTCCTCGGTTGGGGGGATTGGGTGGGGGCCGGGGTGGGCGCTATAGATTTGGTCATTTTCAGTTGTTGAATTTTTTGACTCGAATGCCAGGAATTTGTGAAAACATTTTGGATTCACAAATTCGCTTTCGAAACCTGAATGAATACTCACAATTTGGGAAGAGGATTTTATAGGTGAAAATTATTGCTTAGTGCTTTTTCATTTTTTTTGTCATGTTTCTGGTGTTGGAAAAATGATGTTATTGTCTTTTTATGGTAGATGGAGGATAAAAAGTATTGAAAATTTAGAACTGAGAGTTAATGGTAGATTTTATTGGAGTATTTTTTTAGGATTTCAGTTTCGACGTGCTAGTAAAAATGATACATAGCTTTCTCGTTAGCTTAGCGGAAATGAAGCATGAAAATTTGAAACGAGGGAAGTGGATTTTACGGCGAGAAATATTACGCAATTTTGACGAATTTTATTCTTCCTATCTGCTTTTGGCAATGGTTTTCCATTTTCTGTTATCAGTTTCTTTCTCTTCTCAGGCTCAAGTAGAATCCAGGATAATTGGAAAATTAATTAAGTCGATTCGGTATTGAAAATTTTTTGGCACAACTAAGACTTGTTCGAGAACTCTGCTATTTTCCTCTCAGTGTAAAGCTTTAATTTCGAAACCACATGATTTATCAACTTTTCACCGAGCCTCATTCAAACGAAATTGACCTGAAGTTCCCAAAAAATTAAATTATTTTTAAACTGCTGAATCCTTCAGTCGAATCGCCGCCCTCCTCCAAAAAGCAAACTACATTTAACCATTGAAGAGTCTATTATACTTCCTGCACCCAAAGTTATCGAAGTTGTAATATCCTTCAAACTTCCAAAAAAGCAAAATTCAATTAAATTTGAATTTTGAACGAGAGTTTAAGCACCGGTTATGGTTGATTCTTTTCCCGAACTTCAGCCACTCAAACTGTTAGAAAATAAATTATCCATGATGCAGAGAAATTTCGTACATTTTCATTTTTACCCATCCTTGAGAAAAATAAACCAGACAAACGTGGGAAAGAAAGTTTCACGTTAAAACTCTTCTCGTATTTTCAATTTAAGACTCTTGTTATGTGACTTCCTGGAAAATTTTAGCTGGTTAGTCGGACCAGAGTGCACGTTTTCACTGTGATTACAATGTCCGGAGAAATGAATAGACAGTTAAACATTTGAATTCTGTTGGTTCGCGGAGATAAACATGCTTAAGACGTTCATGAAACATTTGTGTTTAACGAATTCAATGAAAAAAGTTTTTAATTAAGCAGCTCTCGAGAAAAAGTGAAAGATGGATGGAGGAATGAAAACTTGGATTAAGGTTGAAACTCACCGACATTGTACCACTTTCATTGTTTCGGG